TGGCCATGAAGAATGGTTTTGAAGAATCTCAATGCTTTTATAGGCGTGACTCCCGGTACCTAAGAAATGGGAGCTCTCTACGGCTCTTATGGCTCAAACTTTTGAAGGATTCAATGATCTATGCACTAAAGCTCATGATATGGAGCTGCATCTAGCTAAACGAAGGAGGCCTAGGACCGTTGAAAGGGTTGAGTCCTCGACTGCAGCTATAATTGAAACTAAATTTTCTTTACAAATAAGTTTTTAAAAGTAATCAAACCAAGCAAATTTTTCCAAAAAAATTTCTCAAAACTTGTAAACCAAACAAGTTTTCCAAACAAATCTCTCTCACATACACATCAAATCAATCACTTTTTCCAAAACTCTCTCTCAAAATAATTTTCCAAAACATCTTTTGAAAAAAACCAAACCAAACAACTTTTCGTACTTTTTATCTCTAAAACACATCTCTCAAACACAAACCAAACATACCCGATCTTTAACTTTTTTTTTAAAGATAAAATTATGAGAAAATAACAATTTGGTTTGAATTTGAAAACAAAATTTCAAGTTGAAGATAAAGCTTATAAACTTTAATAATTAAAATGTTATAATTATTTTTGAAAGATGTCACTGAAGTGTAATTACTCCTAAAATTATTACTAACAAGTTAATGTATTTAGCAATTGCTAGAGAAAAAAAAGCAAGAAAATTTTTTTAGATAAGTTGATGTATTTTTATTTGGCAATTACAACTATTTTTTCATTTATATTTTTTACTGTTTTTTAAAGATAAAATTTATTAGTAACAAAGTTAATGTATTTGACAATTGTTAAAAAATAAGTTTTTTTTTAATTAAAAAATTTAGGTAAATTGATGATTTTATAAAAATAATAATAATTTTTAAATTTTTAGATATTTCTTAATAAGAAAGACTTGAAAAATAAAAGTAAAAAAGGGAAATTTAATCTAACATTCATCTTTAACTTTTAGTAACATGAGAGATCCACAATATTTATTTTTATAGTCTAAGAAAAATGCTATAAATTTTAAATTTTTAACCAGATAAATGATTAAATGTCTCACGTAGTTTAAGTTGCTCTTTCTTCTCCCTCCCTCATCCTCTCTTCTCTCTCTCTCTCCCTATGATTGTCTACAATATTTGTCATAGACTACCATTCCTCATTGTCATTACTCTCATTGAATTCCCATAAACTCTCCAATTCACTCGCCAAAAACCCTTCGTAATCGATTGGTTTAGAATCAGAAAAAATGGGTATCAATTCGGAAAAACCATGCAATCCAATCACAACTCTTCAATTTTCACAATGGATTTGTTGATGTAGAAAATATCCTATTGTTTATAGGGATATGTGTGTCTACATATGTGTACATGATCTGCACCTGATATGAAACTTGTTGGCTGGATGTAGAATAGAAATCTCTTTATAACGTGTTGATCTTGTTTTAGTTTGTAAAGAAACTGGAGCTTATTACCGCTTATTCACCCTGTTTCAATTAGTCACCCTTGAGAATTTGACAAGATTTGACATTTTTCTTTTGCTGTTGAAATTCAAGCAGAGCGAATTTTCTCTAAACTGTATGAGTTTTTTTTGGATGTGGGATGTGTGAATTTTTTCTAGTTGTGATCATTGTTTGTAAATTTGTAAATTTTCTCTGACTGTAATCACTGTGTGAATTTTCTTTAATTGTGGTTACTGTTTGTAATTTTGTAAATTTTCTTTGGCTGTGGTCACTGTATGAATTTTTTCTGGTTATGGTCAGTGTGTGAATTTTCTCAAACATTGTGGGATTGTAATGTGCCTAGAGAAAATTCAATAAAAATGCTTAGGGAAATTCTAAACATGAACACACAAACACATTCAGAGAAATTCTAAGAGGATTCTGATATGTCCAAAGAAATTCCAAACGGGAACACACAAACACAATAAGTGAAATTTCTCTGGTTTCGAAATTTCTCTGAAAAAATGTTAAGGGACTCCAACTACTATAAAAATATTACATGTCTTTTATTATATAAAATCTTAATTTCAAGGACCTTAAAAATTTTACCTAAAAAAAATTGTAATGAAATTTTATTTTAAAAAATTTCCTAAAGAAATAATATAAAAATGTAATTTTTTTTTTTTATTAATTGTCGATCAGAGACAAATCTTGTTAAAATAACGAGTACAAAAGCTATAACCAAACATGACTTACGAAAAATGCCACGTTGATTATATGCTTTTTATAATTTGCATTTGTTATTTGATATAACAGGCTTCATAATCACCATATATGAGCCGGTCTAAGATTGATTATATTAACGATAGTGTCAAACATAATGACAAAATCAAAAGAAGAAAAATTATAAATAAAACAATCTTGCTCCAAATAATATTAGTGTATACGATGTGAATAAAAATAAGTGAACAAAAGGAAAAAATTTAAAAAAAAAGATAAAAAAATAAAAATGAGAGAAAAAAAAAAGAAAAAGAAAAGAGGAAGGAAGGTGGGATCACGGAAAGATGGGTAAGAAAAGGAAAAAGTAAGAAAGAAGCGGGAAAGTAGAAAAACTACATGTATGATATTTTTTGAAAAATATATCTTACCCATTGTTTTAGAATTTGAACAGATTTGAGTCATCCAAATATCCTAATATGACAAAAATATGTTGAAGATTCAAAAATCGTCTTACTTTATTATATAGATGTTTTATAATTTCCCATTCGAGTGCATTATATAAATAAAGTAAATTACACTTATTTCTCAAATTTTAGAATAAATACGGCAAATAATAATTTTAACATAATTATATTTAGTTTTCTTAAGATTTTAATTTATATAAAACTTAATCTATTTTTATTAATAATTTATTAACTAAATGAATAAAAAAATGAAATTATCATTTATTTTGTATTAAAATATATATATATATATATATATTTTTTCCCTTCTTATTTAACATTCTATCTTTTCATCACTATCTTTACATCAGTTACTTTAGTTCTTATTAGTCTATATAAAAAAGAGATCAATGATGTTAAGATTATAAAATTTAAAATAAATTACAAATATATCTTTTGAAATTTTTCCATAAAAAAAGATAGATTTGCTAAAAATATAAATTGAAAAATTACAAATACAGTTGTTGTTAGATTTTTTTTTATTTAACAGAATTAATTAAAAAAAATAAAATTTATAAATGTTCCCTATAAAATGATAAAATTATCTAAATTATTAATTGAAATAAATTTATGATATCATTAAAAATTAGTAATTGATTTGATAATTTATTAATAAATGAGATTATTTATTATGAAATTAGAAATATGAAATATAATTTTTAAAATATAGAAAACAAATCTTATTTTAATCAAATTTAAAAATGTATAATTGTAATTTACCGTAAAATTTACTATATTTTTTAATAAACTAATATAATTTTTCCGGAACCACCTAAATGTTTGGCTTTTGAGCCCAAACTTTAATAAACCAAACCAAACACCCAAGTCACGTGCCACCAGGCCCATGACTCCACGAGGTTGTTGGGAAGGCTAGTAGAGTGTGTTCAAGCACGTGTCTTCATCTACCAATTTCAATACCCTCCCAATATACATATAAATCATCACACCCTCCCATCAAATTGTCACAACTCTCTCAGACAATACTTATCTTCTACTCTGCCTCCTCTGTAGCTTTGTGGTCTCAGACCCACCACCTCATAACCACCACCACCACCGCACACGGTGTCTCTCCGCCCCCTGTGAATTTCTTTCTCCGGCGAAGATGGTGACAGTGGAGGAAGTGAGGAGGGCACAGAGGGCCGAGGGACCCGCGACGGTGATGGCGATCGGGACGGCGACTCCGCCCAACTGCGTTGATCAGAGCACGTACCCAGATTACTACTTCCGCATTACTAACAGCGAGCATAAAACGGAGTTGAAAGAGAAGTTTCAGCGCATGTGTAAGTATTTTTTCTTTCTATACGCAGCTCAAAAAAATAAATAAATAATGACAAAGAAAAATGCACACAAGTATTCATTGTTCACGTGATAAATGTCGTTTTTTAGCTAAACTCGTAATCTGGATTTCAAGTTCTGTCCTTTACTTATAATTTTTACCAGACTTCATATATATATATATATATATAATATAGTATAGATTGATAGATAGGTAGATCTGATCTACTCATTTTTTTGTGTGTTTTTGCTTTAATTTTCATGTTGTTTTTCCTTTTTTTTTTTTGTTTGTTTGTTTGTACATCCATGCATGTGATATGGCTGTCCATATTTAGGCACTGTTTGGCTACCGCTTGTTTATATTAAGCCTATGTTTGGGAAGTTGGGTTTGTGGGTTTTTTTTTTGTTTTTTGTTAAAATAGTCACAAAAAATAAAATAGATTTTTTTAGCTTAATTAGATAAAACATTACATTCAATCTATAATCATTATATTCTTTTTCTAAAAAATGTCAAAAAAGTCAAAAAATTTTCGTAAACTAGACTTTTTAACCCCAAGTTAAAAAAATAAAAAAAAATAAAAAATCAACTCACTTCTCAAACAAAGCCTAAGTAGGTGCTTGAAATTGGGGTTAGCTTTTTGTAGTTTTTTTTTAACTTTCTTTTAATAAATTTTTCTTGAAAGGTTTATAATTTTGAGTTCTACTAGACTGATCGTAGAAGCAAAATATTTATTAAAAAAAAAAAAAATTGAAAGAAAGTCTAGAAAGAACGAGGGAAAAAAAAAAAGTTTAACATTTTTTGGATTTATTTATTTATTTATTTTTGAATTCTTCTAATTTTTGTCGATTCATCTAAGCAAGACGAACCTGAAAAATATCATTTCTTACTTTTTGAGTCTGCTAGATTTTTTTTCTAGAGTGACTTAAAAGGGATTTTTCATATGCATGAAATTTAATTTTACAAAATTTGAGAATATAATTGTCAAAAAGTTGAGGGTACAATAATTATACAAAAAATTATTATAGAAAAAAATCACTTAACAAAATCTGAGAGATTTTCGTATTATAGAAATAAATATTTGACAGATCACATCATGTTTTCTTGATTTGGATTCCATATTTTTCAGGTATATGTATTTTCTAATTAATTTTTTATCTTAAAATTGTTATGTAAACATGGAATTTCCCAGTACGTTTAATACCATATAAAAAGGCTTTTTTTTAAAAATAGGATTTAAGAAGTCCAAAACCTTTGGCAACTTACTTTGATTTAAAATTGACAAAGTGCCTTGGTATGAACAAATCTTTTCATGTACTTGTCAGTTTATATGAGTTTAAAATTTTTCCTTTTGATTTGATTTATATTATATTATAACAAAAATCAATGAATTACTAATATAGTGATGAAGAGGTTCAATTTTTTAGTAATTTTTTTAATTGTATTAAAAAAATGAAAATGATTCAATCTTTAGTTTCAGTTTTCAGTTTTCAGAGTTTACTTTTCAAAAAATTCTACTTTTCGTTTTCACTAATATTTTAAGTAATTTTTTTTTTTAATTTTTAGATATGCTTAATATAAATACATTTAAAAAGTATAACATTTGTGAAAAATTCTTTAAAAAATTCACTAAATATAAAAAATACAAAAAAAAAAAAAAAATCGAAAATTTAGTACATTTTTTGTATGTTGTGTATTTATTAATTTATAAAAATATTTTTTCATAAATATTTTATTATTTGAATATATGTAATTAAGGTGTATTTAAAAAAGTAAAAAGAATTACTTAAAATTTTAAAAATATTCTTTAAAAACAAAAAAAATCAATTTTTAAAAAATTGAAATCAAACACACTCATTGATATTTATGACTTTTTTTTAAAAGCTTGTTAAGGCTAAAATTAAATTTTCCAAACGATGTCTCAATACGACATATAAAGTTCCAATAAATGATAGGGAACAAAATTCACACACACCTAAATAGAAGCCAAATAGATTATAGAAGTATTTGAACCACTATACTCATAGCTGGATGTTTATTATCCCAACTATTCTTGTTAATCCCGAGCCCACTAATGCTGTGTTTGGTTTGAGAACTTAGGGAGAGATTTGAAAAGATTAAGAGAAAATGTGCGTAAAATTATGTGAAATATAAGCATGTTTTATTTACATTTTATCAATCTTTTTTATTTTTCTTTCCAAATCTCTTCGCAAATTTTTCAATCAAATACAGCATAAAGAAAGGTTAATTAATAATACAACAAAGTTTTCGTATTGGATTCTCATGTGGATATGAATGAATCATCATTTATGTACTATCTTTGTCTCTTAGGCAAGAGAATAATGAATTTTAAGTTTCAGAAAATAATGAGTGCAAATTCTGTCAAATTATGTTCTAGAATATCATATTTATTTCTCTTCATCTGTGAAAACCCATCATATTTAAGTGGGTACTCAACAGATATATATTTATATATATATATATATATATATAAAAATTAAATATTATCTATAAACTATACACAATTATTTTTATCAGTAAATTTAGGCAAAAATTAAAGTAGAAAAAGAAAAGTGCTATATAAATAAACTTTTTGTAAGAATTGATGCGACTTGTAGTGGTTTTTGAAATGGATCCTCTAAAATTAAATGTTAGAGGCAACTCAAGTGAGACATTTATCATTAAATTAATTGTTAATTGGCTAAGTTTGTGAAATGAGAATAAGGAAAACTGTTAATATTTACCCGCATTCAGTATTGAATATTCAAAATTAGTATGTAAATCAAATAGGAGTTTAAAATAATTCAATTTTTCTTTCTTTAATTATTGAAGAGACTATTTGGTGCAATTTATTTAAGCTGTTTAATTTTTATTTTTATTTTCGTATTTTGAGAGTCTTGCTACTCTGTTTAATATAGTTTCTATTTACAAATTATTAGACAAAAATAATTTAAATTTAAATTTTTATTTTTATTTTTAACTGGAAGTTCGGAAAGAAATAATTTTAATTTCTATCTTTTAATTTACAATAAAATGTAACACCAAATAGATCCTATTATCAGCTACCCCCACCCTATTTTGTTTTACAAAAACGTTTAAGAGCATTAAAAATAGAGTTTTAATAAGAGCTCTACTTATGTGATGGTGGGTCTATTCATAAATGATTTGATGTATGTGTCTTATTTTTTTTTATTTTTTATTTCATGTTACATCATTAGAGTTGTTAGAACTTTAAATTTAGAGTTATGAATCATTATTTTTTGTTTTACGTACATGCCACGTGTGCACTGTGTGGCGCAACCCAAAAAACAAACACTACAAGAAGTCTAAAATTGATAAAATTGGGAGGTCAGGGCACGTCGATATTTACTGTCAACTAGTAATTAATTCTAGATCTGGATTGAATTTGTTGTTGAGTTATGCTAGGGACCCCAAACAAATTACTAAATTTTTTACCAAATCTCTCACATGGGTGTGGGACCCACACACATTTGATTTGTGTGGATCCCACACCCATGTGAGAGGTTTGGTAGAAAATTTGGTAATTTATTTGGGGTCCATAGCATTTTCCTTTGTTGTTTGAGTTTATGGTCACTCTTGTTTTGATTCAAATAAATTATTTTGTAAGATATTTTGGTTATATCATTCATAAATAAATTTAATCAATTTAATAATCATAATCTTTTTAATTTGACATACTGGTCTTTAAAAAAATAAATAAATATGTTTTTGAAAATAAATAATGTATTTTTTTAATTATTTTTTGGACAAACATAATAAATTAAACAAATTATAATAATTGATTGAATTTTTTTATATAAATGATATATAAAAAAATTTACAAAATAAAAAATTCCGAAACAAAATAACAGTCAATTGTAACAGAATAAAATAGAATGTATCCACCCAATGTCTGAAAGCAGTTAACGTTGTGTACACGTAATCAATCAAATCAAACACAATAAATAAAAATGAAAAATAAAAAAATAAAAAGAAAAGACAAAGGTGAAGTTAAAAAGTTTTGTTTTGAACGGTAGGTAGGTAAAGTTAAAAAAAGTTAAAAAATCAATTTTAATTGTATTCATATTGATGTAATAGTGGAGGAGCTGTGTCCTAATTGATTGATTTTCAATAATTCATACAATAATCATTGACATATAGGGATGTTTTGGAAAGATGATTAAAAATTATTTTTTAAATTTTTTAATTTTTTTGTGAGAGATGAAAATAGGTTAAAAGTTAGAAAGTGACTTTTAACTTATTTCTTAAAAAAACCCATAATAATTCATGACATACTATCTCCTTGGGAATAAATTTAGGAATAATTTCTTAAATTTAAGTGCACAGAATTTTTAAAAAAATAAGGCAATGATATGAGATAAATGGTGAGTTCACTTGTCATGTGTGAACTCCACAAGTGGGATTCACATTTTGTCTTACATTGTATTTTATTTTATAAAAATAATCTATATTCATAGAATCGAAAAGAAATATTCTAAGCAATTGATGTATTCTATATTTATTATATTCTAATTATTATTATTTTATTTTTTTTGTGTATGTGGTGTGCAATTCAGGTGACAAGTCCATGATTAAGAAGAGGTATATGTATTTGACAGAGGAAATTTTAAAAGAAAACCCAAATGTGTGTGCCTACATGGCACCTTCACTAGATGCTAGGCAAGACATGGTGGTTGTTGAAGTACCAAAACTAGGCAAAGAGGCTGCAACCAAGGCCATCAAAGAATGGGGCCAGCCGAAGTCCAAAATCACCCACTTGGTTTTCTGCACCACTAGTGGCGTCGACATGCCCGGGGCCGATTACCAACTCACCAAGCTCCTCGGTCTCCGTCCCTCTGTCAAGCGGCTTATGATGTACCAACAAGGTTGCTTTGCCGGCGGCACCGTGCTCCGCCTAGCCAAAGACCTAGCTGAGAACAACAAAGGTGCTCGGGTCCTAGTTGTGTGTTCGGAAATCACTGCAGTCACCTTCCGTGGGCCTAGTGATGCCCATCTTGATAGCCTTGTGGGCCAGGCCCTATTTGGTGACGGTGCAGCTGCTATTATAGTTGGGTCAGACCCAATTCCCGAGGTTGAGAAGCCGTTGTTTGAGTTGGTCTCAGCGGCTCAAACCATCCTCCCGGACAGCGACGGTGCTATCGATGGGCATCTTCGTGAAGTGGGCCTTACATTCCATCTCCTCAAGGATGTTCCTGGGCTTATTTCCAAGAACATAGAGAAGAGTCTAAATGAGGCATTCCAACCCTTGAACATCACTGATTGGAATTCCCTTTTCTGGATAGCCCATCCCGGTGGCCCTGCCATTTTGGACCAAGTGGAATTGAAGTTGGCCCTTAAGCCCGAGAAGCTTCGGGCCACGAGACACGTGCTAAGTGAGTACGGCAACATGTCCAGCGCTTGTGTGTTGTTTATCCTAGATGAGATGAGAAAGAGTTCAGCAAAGAAAGGACTCAAGACCACTGGTGAGGGGCTCGACTGGGGTGTGCTCTTTGGGTTCGGACCAGGGCTCACCGTTGAGACTGTGGTGCTACATAGCGTGTCTACTTAATTTTAAAATGTTGCTCTATCATTGAACTACGTTGTAGTGAGGTCTTTTTTTTTTAAGGTGTGATTGTGTTGGCTTTTATTTGGTTCCACTTTGCTTTGGTTGTTTGCATTTTGTAATGATACTCATGCAGTGAATTAAAATTTAAATAATATATGTTTCTTGTGATATCCTTGCAATTATTTGGTGGTTGTGTTATGCTTGAATAGATTTTCCTATGGTGCAATACCATGCCCAAAAATTACTCTCATTGGTTAAATTTGAATTAAAAAAAAGAAATTAATAGTACAGGGTATAAGTAAAATAGATCTTGAAAAATGGGATTTGTATTATAGAAATAAATATTTGAAAGATCACATCATATTTATAGATTGTACATTTCTATATTTTGTTGATTTGGATTTCATATTTTTCAGGTATATGTATTTTCTAATTAATTTTTTATCTTAAAATTGTTATGTAAACATGGAATTTCCCATTATGTTTGATACCATATAAAAAGTTTTTTTTTTTTTTTTCGCTTTTTTAATAGGATTTAAGAAGTCCAAAACCTTTGCCAACTTACTTTGATTTAAAAAATTGACAAAGTGGTATGAACAAATCTTTTCATGTACTTGTGTGAGTTTATATGATTTTTAAATTTGTCCTTTTAATTTGATTCATATTATATTATAATAAAAATCAATAAATTATCATTATAATGACGAAGAGTTTGAATTTTTTAGTAATTTTTTTAATTGTATAAAAAAAATGAAAATGATTCAATCTTTGGTTTCAATTTTCAGAATTTACTTCTCAAAAAATTTTACTTTTTCGTGTTTACTAATTTTTTTTTTAAATTTTTAGACATACTTAACATAAATACATTTAAAAAATATAATATTTGTGAATTTTTTTTTAAAAAATTCACTAAATATAAAAAACAAAAAAAAATCCCAAAAATTTAGTATATTTTTCGATGTTGTGTATTTATTATTTATTTATAAATATTTTATTATTTAAATATATGTAATTAAGGTGTATCTAAAAAAGTAAAAAAAATTACTTAAAATTTTAAAAATATTTGTTAAAAACAAAAAAAAAATCAATTTTTAAAAAATTGAAATCAAACACACTAATTGATATTTATGACTTTTTTTAAAAGCTTGTTAAGGCTAAAATTAAATTTTCTAAACAATGTCTAAATACGACATATAAAGTTCCCGACAATGCTACGTAGCTCAAATTTTGTGGCTCAAAAGTGGTTTAAATGGCCAAAACGACGTCGTTTTAAGTATAGAACAACATAAAAATGGCCAAAACGACGTCGTTTTGGCCATTTGAGCCACTTTTAAGCCACAAAATTTGAGTTACGAGACATTTTTCTAAAGTTCCAATAAATGACAGGGAATAAAATTCACACACCCCTAAATAGAAGCCAAATAGATTATAGAAGTATTTGAACCACTATACTCATTGATGGATGTTTATTATCCCAACTATTCTTGTTAATCCCGAGCCCACTAAGGAAGGGATTAATTAATGGGCAAATTACACAAATAATCCCTATAGTTTGGAGTTTGTGTCACTTTGGTTCCTGATTTTTCAATTGTGATACATTTGATCCTAAATTTTGAATTTTGTTTCAAATAAGGACAATTGAATATATAATTAGATTTTTCAAAGGTAAAATTGTCAATTTGATAAAATATAAACTAATTTGACAAAAATAAGTGTCAAACAAATATTTTGGAATTTTTAAAAATTATTTCTACCTACTAAAAATAAAATTGATAAATCTTTTAGATATTCATTTTTTATTTTTTACCAAATTAATTTTTATTATTTGTTTGGATGATGATCATGTAAAATTAATTTTAAAAAATTAATCATGTAATTTTTATTTATTTTACATAATTTTATCATTGGTGGATAAAAAATAATTTTTAAAAAATTAAAAATATGTTTTTGACATTTTTTTTTGTCAAATTAGTTTATATTTTATCAAATTGACGATTTTACCCTTAAAAAATCTAATAATATTTTCAATTATTCTTATTTTGAACAAGATTCAAAATTCAAGGTCAAATGTATCACAATAGAAAAATTAGAATGACACAAATCTCAAACTATAGAGACTATTAATGTAATTAACCTTTAATTAATAATACAACGAAGTTTTCGTATTGGATTCTCATGCCGATGTGAATGAATCATCATTTATGTACTATCTTTGTCTTGTAGGCAAGAGAATAATGAATTTTAAGTTTCAGAAAATAATGAGTGCAAATTCTGTCAAATTATGTTCTAGAATACCATATTTATTTCTCTTCACCTCTCAAAACCCATCATACCCATCATATTTAAGTGGAGAAAAATGATTGAGAGCACTAAAAAGGAATCACTAGAGGAAGCACTAATGAGGATTTGGGGTCACTGCTGTGGTAAATACACAGCAGTGACTGTTGTGGTTCATTTTGTGGTGCATTATGGGATTATTTTTATGATCTGAACCGTTCATTTTGTAAGGTTTGTTGAGTACTTCAAGCCTACCAAAAATCATATTAATCGGATACCAATAACTATATGATTGATAACCAAAAAAACAAACAAGAAGTTTTTCTTTTAAAAAATAGTATAAAAATATGCAATTCGATCATATAGTTGTTGATATCCGATTAATATGATTTTTGGTAGGCTTGAAGTACTTAACAAATCCTACAAAATGAACGGTTCAGATCATAAAAATAAGCCCACAATGCATCACAAAATGAACCACAACAGTCACTGCTGTGTATTTACCACAGCAGTGACCCATAATCCCACTAATGATGTAGCAGTGGGTTCCGTCCACTTTCTATGCCTTATTTTTATTTTATTTTATTTTGTCATTCTCAATGCATTAATGCTATTAGTGATATATTTTTTAGTAGTCTAAATCATTGTTGTTTAAGTGGGTACTCAACAATATATATATAAATTAAATATTATCTATAAACTATACACAATTATTTTTATCAATAACTATTTAGGCAAAAATTAAAATGGAAAAAGAAAAGTGCTATATAAATAAACTTTTTGTAAGAATTGATGCAACTTGTAGTGGTTTTTGAAATGGATCCTCTGAAATTAAATGTTAGAGGCAACTCAAGCGAGACATTTTTCATTAAATTAATTGTTACTTGGCTAAGTTTGTGAAATAAGAATAAGGAAAATTGTTAATATTTACTCGCATTCAGTATTGAATATGCAAAATTAGTATGAAAATCAAATAGGAGCTTAAAATAATTCAATTTTTCATTCTTTAATTACTGAAGAGACTATTTGGTACAATTTATTTAAGCTGTTTAATTTTTATTTTTATTTTCATATTTTGAGTCTTGCTACTTTGTTTAATATAGTTTCTATTTACAAATTATTAGAAAAAAATAATTTAAATTTTTATTTTTAACTGAAAGCTCGGAAAGAATAATTTTAATTTCAATCTTTTAATTTACAATAAAATGTAACACCAAATAGATCCCCCCTCCTTTTGTTTTACGTACGTCCCACGTGTGCAGCGCGACACAACCCAAAAAACAAACACGGCAAGGAGTCTAAAATTGATAAAATTGGGAGGTCAGAGCATGTCGATATTTATTGTCAACAACTTGTAATTAATTCTAGATCTGGATTGAATTTGTTGTCTGAGTTTATGGTCACTCTTGTTTTTATTCAAATAAATTATTTTCTAAGGTATTTTGGTTATATCATTTATAAATAAATTTAATCAATTTAATAATCATAATCTATTTAATTTAACATATTGGTCTCTAAAAAAATAAACATACATGTTTTTGAAAATAAATAATGTATTTATTTAATTATTTTTTGGACAAACATAATAAATTAAATAAATTATAATAATTGATTGAATTTTTTTATATAAATGTTATATAAAAAAATTTACAAAATAAAAAATTCCAAAACGAAGCTCATGATGTACCTTACAATAACAGTCAATAACAGTCAATTATAACATAATAAAATAGAATGTATCCACCCAATGTCTGAAAGCAGTTAACGTTGTGTACACGTAATCAATCAAATCAAACACAATAAATAAAAATAAAAAATAAAAAGAAAAGTCAAATGTAAAGTTTAAGGCTCTGTTTGGTTACGATCTCAAATTATAGTTCCACTCATTGATTTGAGTGTGTTGTTTGTTTTGAATTTTCAAATTATAATTCTACACCTATTTTTCAAAACTCAATTCAAAACATAATCATTACTTTTCAAAACTCATAACTAAACACATAATTCAAAACCCTTTTCAAAACTTAATTCAAATCAATATTTTCATTTTTTAAATATTTTAATTTTGTTAAGATTTTAAATATTTTAATATTTAAATATGTTGCGATTTTTTTAATTTTTTGAATATTTTTAAATATTTTAATTTCAAAATATTACGATTTTAATTTTTTAAATTTTAAAATTTTTTTGTGAGAGAGTAAAATAAATTAAAAAGTAAAAAGTGACTTTTAACCTGCTTTCCAAAATAACCCATAATAATTCATGACATACTATCTCCTTGGGAATAAATTTAGGAATAATTTTTTAAAAAAGAATGAGTATTGAAAAGAATTTTTTAAAAAAATGGTGAGTTCACTTGTCATGTGCGAACTCCACAAGTGGGATTCATATTTTGTCTTACATTGTATTTTATTTTATAAATATATTCTATATTCATAGAATCGAAAAGAAATATTCTGAGCAATTGATGTATTCTATATTTATTATGTTCTAATTATTATTATTATTATTATTATTATTATTTTTTGTGTATGTGGTGTGCAATTTAGGTGACAAGTCCATGATAAAGAAGAGGTACATGTATTTGACAGAGGAAATTTTAAACAACAATGATTCATCCCACTAAAAATATCATCACTAATAGCACTAATGCATTAAAAAAGTAAAAAAAAATAAAAATAAAATACAACTCCAAGACTAAAACATCACATCATTAATGGCGAGACCCACTGCCACCTAATTAGTAGGAGCACTAATTAGTACTCCCAAGCATTTTTCAATTTTAAAAGAAAACCCAAATGTGTGTGTCTACATGGCACCTTCACTAGATGCTAGGCAAGACATGGTGGTTGTTGAAGTCCCAAAACTAGGCAAAGAGTTAAAAAGCTTGTTAGAA